ATCAACTGACATCAATTTCCATATAAATAAGCACCAAGTTAAACTGTAAATGCTGTAATTGTAATCCAAAAATAGCTATAAGGGTCACTCACCACAATACTTTCCAAATACATGGAATAATACAAATTGATAATATGGCTAGAGCTATCATTTTTAATAAATAGATAATTCAAAATAAATAAAATAAATAAAACCAACAAAAATATACAATATACAAAAATAAATCAATATTCATAAGCAACATAAATAAGATTTCAGGTTACACAACAATAATATTTTATGATGTTTTAAGAGGATCGCCATTTACAATGGAAAAAAATACAGTAACATTATATTTAGCTTTTTAAAGATATGTATACATGATGATACTTCATAATTGTTACAGTCACTGATTTTTTAATACAAAAACCTTATGCTTCCATGGAAAGCTGGATATCTAGCTAAACTTAAACTACAATCTTTTTCTTTTAGTATCAATTTTATTTCAAGAAAATCTGTTTGGTGGGGATTTCTTGCCAAAGAAAGAAAATTCCCAAGGCATTCAGAGAATGTTCTAGGGCTCTGGTGTCCAACTCCCATAATTCCCCAGCCAGCATGGGGAATTGAAGTCCAAAAGTCTTAAATTTTGGTTTCAGTATGAAGTGCCTTTAAATTTCTTGTCCTAATCATCACAACATAAAACATACGTTAATTAAATGGAAAGAAAACCTAGGAAACATAATTCATGATGGAAATCATAAGTAACAAAACTTCAAAAGGTTTCAGAAGGTGGAAAGAATGTTTTTCAATAGGTGGATATTTTATAGAGATTCTGCCATTTTTACTTCTATTTTTACTTAAGTAAAAGAATTCAGGAAGCGGTAAAAAAGAATTTTATGTTTTCTGAAGATATGTCAAAGTCACCAGTGAAAGATGAATGATTTCATTTTCCTGATTTTGTTGCATCAGTGAGAGCATATCAACCTAGAACAAAAAGAGAAGTTTTAAAATTGAGTTTTACAATTATTGTAATTATAAAACATTTTCCTTTTTTAAACTGAACATTTTTAACATATGCATACCACTCACAAAAAAATTGAAAGATTCTATTCCAGTTTGCAACCTATTTTAAAATACAGTGCTGACATTCTGGATATATCTTTTTCTTTTTCTTTTTAAAATTTATGTAGCAAAATGGAGTAAGCATTAAATTTTGCCTTCAAATAACAAATCAAAATGATGAAAACCTTTTACTGAGTTGATTAAAAGGACTGCACTGTATCCTAGAAATATTCAACTGTATGCTAGAAATATTCAATTTGGAGTGATTATTTAAGTACCTTCACTTGGAATCCTTTGATTGAGTTGGTTAATCCACTCAAAACATTCTCTGATTTGGATCTGGATAACCTTCCAGGCACACAGATTGTACTCTTTGTTTTTCAAGAAGTCTCTGAGCCTCTGAAAATATCTTTTCACTCTCAGCCTGGTGAACTGCAGTTTCTGACATCTTGGAGATCTGATGCCACGTTCCACCTCAGTATTCCAGCAAGTTTCTGTCTTCTTTACCTCTTGATCCAGTCCAATGTGGAATTCTCTTAGTGAGTTCTCATCCCAAACTAATTCACTATGGCTTTCCTTGAAGATGAGGCCTATCTGTTGGAGAAGTTCTTTAATAGCTACCTTGGCATTCTCCCCCTGTAATTTGTTTACCATATTCATCAGATTTTCTTCACTGGTATAGAGTGAGGAATCTATGATGTCCCTGATACATTGTTGGGGAATGGTTGATCCTATATTTCTTGTTAGGAGATTCAAGTTGCCCAGGTTGGTTTCATGTAGCCTGCTGCGAAGTTGGTTACAATCTTGGGATGAAATTTCAGTCAAGAAGATCCCTAGGCAAGTGAACAGACACCAATATCTTGTGGTCATAGTAGACATGTTGGATGAGGGTTTCAAGGTTTATTCCCTGGAAAGATTCTTTGGAATACGTTATAGTGCTAAATAATGTCTCTGTATTTATACATTGAAGTATTAAACTTTTTTTTCAGTGTATATTGTGAAGATACCTTGACTTTCACTTTTCTGCTTCAATATATATATATATTTAAAAACTCATATAGATGAAAAGTGCTAATTGGAGAAGTGGCTACTATTTAGAAAACAGCATGTATTTCTTGAAAAAAAAATCAATTATAAGAAACGTACCTTTTCTTTATTATAAACAATTAAATCCCTCGCTTCTAATTTAGCTCCATTTCAGGGTGTTTTGTAGGAAGAGGTATATGGACTGGGTCTTTTTTTTCCTGTTGGGTTTCAATCAGCTTTTTGAGATCAAGGGGAAGACTTCTTACTTTCTTCATTCCCCTCTCGTTAAAAAAGAAACATGTAGCCAAAACCTACTGCTTGACATGATTTATTTTTAGAAGACTGATTTTCTGAAGATAAAGAAGGTAGGAGTTCAGCTTTCCATCCAAAGTGCTGTAAAGGTTGGCTTTTCAAGGCCAGCTCTCAAGAACATCTTATCTGCTATTTGATAAGGGACTGCCAAGCTACAGCTAGCAAAATTATATGTTGACTGGCTGGACAGTGAGAGACCATTATTTTAATATTTGTGTGTATTTTTCTTTTGTTCCATTTCATTTGATACAAGTGTAGATCAAGGTGAAAACTCCATAAGTTTATTTTCCTCTCCCCTCTCCTGTCAGGTAAAAAATTCTAATCTGTCTAAACCAGGGGTAGGCAACCTTGGCTCTTTTATGATTCGTGGACTTCAACTCCCAGAATTCCTGAGCCAGCATGGCTGGCTCAGGAATTCTGGGAGTTGAAGTCCACGAGTCATAAAAGAGCCAAGGTTGCCTACCCTTGGTCTAAACTGTTTTTAGAAACTATTTCACTAAGACATAATTAAGTGAAAAGTAACTCTTTTGTCCTTAATAAAGCCTGACGTCAGTGCTCCATCACTGGAGGTATTCAAGAAGAGACTGGGCAGCCATTTGTCTGGAGTAGTATAGATTAGACAGGAAGTTGGACTAGAAGACCTCCAAGGTTCCTCCCAATCGTTTTATTTCATATTCTACATTCTTTGTTGTGAGATTAAATGAAATAAACTTTGATGAAATCTTATATAATGTACAGTTTTAATTGCCTTAAAATACGAAGGCTAGGACTTTAGTCATCCAAAATTAGTGAGGTTGAATGACCACAATTTTCATGAAAGCTTATGAAACATACTAGTCTTTGTTGCAGTTCACAGTTAGAGCTTAGGTAGTTTGTCTTCCAAGGTTATGAGATTAAATTATCTAAGCCTGGGTGAAGATTTACGTAACATACCAGTACTAGTCTTCATTTTTATTACGAGTTGAACTTTAGACAGTTTGCCCTCCAAAATTGATCAGATTGAATGCATAAAATTTTTATGACAGTTTGTGAAACATACTATTCTTCATGGCAATTAAAAGATGAAGCTTAGGTAGTCTACCAAAGTTATGAGGTGAAATGATCTAAAATCTGATGCTTATTTAGGTAGCATTCTAGTTTTCATTGTGTGAAAATGTGAAACTTAGGTCTTTAGTCATCCAAAATTTATGAGGTTGAATGACCGAATTTTTCACAAAAGTTTATCTAGCTTGTTAGTCTTCACTGAAAATAACAGTTGAGATTCAGTTGGTTAGTCTTCCACATTTTTAAATTAAATGAGCTAAATTTTGATGAAGCCTTAGGTAAGATACTAATTTTCATTTCCTTAAAATATGAAATTTAGGTCTTTAGTCATCCAAAATTTGAGACTGAATAACCAAAATTTTCACAAAAGCTTACACAATTTTGCATTGTTCAGTGCAATTAATAGTTGAAACTTAGGTTATCCAAAACTTTAGTCATCCAAAATTTGTGAGGTTGAATTATCAAATTTTTCATAAAAATTTACCTAACTTACCAGTTTTCATTGCCATTAATATTTGAAAGTTAGCTAGTTAGTCATCCAAACCGTATGAGGTTGAATGACCAAAATTTTCACAAAAGCTTACACAATTTTTTATTCTTTGTTACAATTTACAGTTAAAATTTAGGACATCCAAAATTTTATAGATCCAAAAAAGGCTGAATGACCAAAATTTTCATAAAAGCTTATACAACTCTGTATTGTTCATGGCAATAAACAGTTGAATCTTAGGTCATCCAAAACTTTAGTCATTCAAAATTTATGAGTTTAAATGACCAAAATTTGCATAAAAGTTTATACAACTTTGTATTGTTCATTGCAATTAACAGCTGAAACTTAGGTCATCCAAAATTTTAGTCATTCAAAATATATGAGGTTGAATGACCAATATTTTCATAAAAGCTTAACCTACCAGTTTTCATTGCCATTAATATTTCAAAGTTGGCTAGTTAGTCATCCAAAATTTATAAGACTGAATGACCAAAATTTTCATGACAGCTTAGGAAATATACTAGTCTTCATTGCAAAATTAAAAGTTGAAGCTTAGGTAGTTAGTCTTCCAAAGTTATAAGGTTAAATGATCTGAACTTTGATGAAAGCTTAGTAATGTTCCAGTTTTTATTTTATTGTGAAACTTAATTCTTTAGTCATCCAAAATTTATGAGGTTTTAGTGACCCCAAAATTTTATAAAAGCCTATGAAACATACTTATCCTTGTTGCAATTAATTGTTGAAGCTTAGTTAATCTTCCAAAGTTATGAGCTTAAATGAATTAAACTTTGATGAAGACTTATGTATCATACTAGTCTTCATGCCTATTAGGAATTGAACTTTAGGTAGTTTGTCCTCCAAAATTTAAGGTCAAATAACCAAAAATTTAATGAAGGTTACATAATACATTAGTTTTCATTGAAAGTTGAACCTTATGGTAGTTATTTATCAAACTTTATGTGGACATTACTAACCGTAGGGAGGTTTAATCCCTGATGATATAAATACCACAACTAAATGAAAAATGCGGCAGATCTCAGAAAATCTTTTGAAAGAGCTAATCAGCAATTACTAACTCACCTTAACCATGATTATGAACAATTGCTGTCTCTATATTTGCATATGGATAATCTCCTTTGGTGGAATCTCTTCTCAGAACTGTAACCAACTTCAGAGGAAGCTACTAAAAGCCAACCAGATCAACTTCAATCTTCTAAGTAGTAATATAGGATCAACCATTCCTCTACAATGTATCAAGGACATTAATTTTTCATTTGAAGCCACTGAAAAAATATTGATTGATATGAATGATGAATCCCAAGTGGACATTGCAAAAACAGCTGTTAAAGAAATCCTCCAACAGATAGGCATTATCTTCAAACAAAGTCATATTAAACTGGTTTGGCCCAAAGTCTCCTTAAAAGATTTCCACATTGGACTGGATCAGCAGATTAAGATGCTGGAAACTTGTGAGAATTCAGAGGTGAAACAAGTCACCACATCTCCAAGGAATCAAAAATTGCAGCTGACCAGGTTGAGAGTAAAAAGATACTTCCAAAGGCTCCATGACTTCTTGAAAAATAAGAACTACAATTTGTGTGCTTGGAAGATTGTCCAGATCCACATGAAGGAATGTTTTGAACTGATTAATCACTACATCCAAAGGATTCCCTCTAAAGTTATTGTTGATTTCTGGAAATGGTTGTTTTGAGCTAAAAAAAAAAAGGGAGGGAAGCTTCACATGTATCTCTAGCATGTAATTTGTTTAACAAAATAATTAAATGCTATCATATGCTAATTTTTACAGGTGACATGATCAAAATTCAGGGTTTGGGCAACCTGTCCACATTTAAGAGAGCAGGGTTTATATGGTTATATGATATATATATATATTTTAAAAAGTATATAACTTACTATTAAAATTGCAATTAAAACTTGAAGCTTGGGTACTTAGTTCTCCAAGGTTATGAGGTTAAATGATCTAAACGTTCATGAAAACTTATGAAACATACCAGTTTTCATTTCTTAAGATGTGAAGCTTAGATCAGGGCTTTTCAACTGGTGGTAGGCATACCACTTGTGGTACATTAATGAGTGGCAGGTAGTACGCAGCCCTGCCTAGCCAAGTGTAGTGGGGGAGGGAAAGAGCCAGCACAGGCAAGGACTTACAGTGAGAGAGTCCTCTGGAGCTGTAAAGGCCCCAGGCTCACTTCTGGCTCACCCTCCCCCATGAGAAAGGAGGAGTGGGGTGGAGACAGGAGAGCCTATAAAAGGAGGCAGTTTGGGCAGGAGAGGGAGAGAGAGAAAAAAGCAGCAGCCTTGGGAGGAGGTAGAGTCAGCTGCACTGAAGGGGAAGGAGAAGGAGAAGGAGAAGGAGAGGGATGGTGAGGGAGGGTGAGGGTGAGGGTGGGGGTGGGGGTGGGGGGGGAGAGGAGATCAAGCAGGCTGACCATGAGCCGATCTACAACTGCTGTGGCAGNAGGCACGGAGGAGGGAAGGAGATGGAGAGTGGAAGGATTCTTATGTGCTTTTGTGACTTTGAAGTTCTGGGATTTGTGCAATGAGGGCTTTGTGTTCTTAAGGAGTGTTTGGCAATTTCTATTTGGCTGATGGCTGATGTCTCGTGTTAGCTTCTATTGCTCTGCTGTTGTTAGCTGTAAGTTTTGCTGCAAGGGATTTTGAAGTATTTTTCTCCTGGACGGATTTTGCCTGTAGCATTCCTTTACTTATGAATGGAGCCATTTGGGGAGGTTGCCTTAGCCAGCAGCCAGTACTTACATTTTGTTTCTTCCTTAAGTGCCGGCTGCCCTCCTTACTTTCCTTTCTAGCCAGTAGCTAATTCTTAAAGGGGAATGTGCCTTTTTAAGCTAGTTCACTCAGCTTGTCTTTTCTGTCTCTGGAGGCCTTTCCTTGTTTGATCAATATATGGAAGAGGGAAAATATGGGGGGGGGGGTCAAATTCTTCCTTCAGAAGGAGATGGGAATGAAAAAAAGGGAGGCAGGGAAGGGAGGGAGGAAAGGAAGTCCCGCCTTAGCACTTGGCCACCAGCAACTCTGCCATTGACTTTGCTTGTTAAAAGGTTGCAGAAGGGGATCACATGACCCTGGAACACTGTGACCATTATAAATATGAATCAGTTGCCAAGCATCCAAATATAAATCACATGACCCTGGGCATGCTGCAATGGTCATAAGTGTGAAAAAAGGTCATAAGTCATTTCAGTGCAATTGCAACTTTGAACAGGTTTTTTTTGTCATCAAGTTTTTGACACCTTGCTAGGTGGTACTCAAATATTGCCATATCCTAAAAGTGGTACAATCGGTAAAAAGGTTGAAAAACCCTGGCTTAGATCTTTTGTCATCCAAAATATATGAGGTTGAATGACCAAAATTTTCATAAAAGCTTTAATACTATTTCATCATCCAAAATTTATGAGGTTGAATGATCACAATTTTCACAAAGATTTACCTAATGTACTAGTCTTCATTTCAGTTAATAGTTGAAGCTTAGGTAGTTAGTCATCCACAATTTATGAGGTTGAATGACCACAATTTTCACAAAAGCTTACCTACCATGCTAGTCTTTATTGCAATTAACAATTAAACAATAGGTAGTTAGTCTTCCAAAGTTATGAGACTAGATGATCTGATTCTAAGCTTAGATGAAGACTTCTGTAACATAATAATTTTCATTTCCTTAAAATGTGAAATCCAGGGTTTTAATACTATTTTGTCATCCAAAATGTATGAGGTTGAATGACCAAAATTTTCACAAAAGCTCACTTAACTTCACATTCTACATTGCAATTAACAGTTGAAACTTAGGTCATCTGAAATTTTAGTCATCCAAAGTTATGAGGTTGAATGACTGAACTTTTTATAAAAGCTTATCTAATTTACTAGTCTTCATTACAATTAATAGTTGAAATTTACCTAGTTAGTAATGCACAATTTATGAGTTGAATGACCAAAGTGTTAACGAAAGATTATGAAACATACTACTTTTCATTGCAATGACAATTGAAGCTTAGTTAGTTAACCTTCCAAAATAATGAGGTTAAATGTTGATGAAAGGTTAGGTACTAGCTTTCATTTCCTTTATGATGTGAAACGTAGCTAGTTAGTCATCTCCTAAATTAATGTTGTTGAATGACCAGATTTTTCACAAAAGCTTACCTAACTTACTAGTCTTCATTGCGCTTAATAGTTGAAATTTATCTACCAGTAGTTAGTCACCCACAATTTATGTGGTTGAATGACCAAAATTTCCCCAAAATTTTACATAATTTCATATTCTCCATTGCAATTAACAGTTGAAACTTAGCTAGTTAGTCATCCACAATCTATAAAGTTGAATGACCACAATTTTCACAAAAGCTTACCTAAATTACTAGTCTTCATTGAAAGTAATAATATCTGGTTGTTAATCTTCAAAGTGGTGAGTTTAAATGATCTAAACGTTGATGAAAACTTGGGTGAGATATTAGTTTTCATTTCCTTTAAATGGGAAACTTCGGTCTTTATTCATGCAAAATTTATGAATCAAATGATTAAAATTTTCACAAAATCTTATGTAACTTCTTATTCTTCATTGTAATTACAATTGAAATTTAAGTCATCCAAAATGTATGAGGTTGAATGACCAAAATTTTCACAAAAGCTCACTTAACTTCACATTCTACATTGCAATTAACAGTTGAAACTTAGGTCATCTGAAATTTTAGTCATCCAAAGTTATGAGGTTGAATGACTGAACTTTTTATAAAAGCTTATCTAATTTACTAGTCTTCATTACAATTAATAGTTGAAATTTACCTGGTTAATAATGCACAATTTATGAGGTTGAATGACTGAAATTTTCACGAAATCTTAGGAAACATATTAGTCTTTGTTGCAATTAACAGTTGAACTTTAGGTAGTAAATCTTCCAAATTTATGAGGATAAATGATCTAAACTGTGATGAAGACTTACATAAAACATGTGTCTTCCTTCCTATTGAGACAAAGAACTTTAGGTAATTTGTCTTCCAATATTTATGAGGTTGAATGACTGAATTTTTCATGAAGACTTAGGAAACATACTAGTCTTCGTTGCAATTAACAATTGAATGTTAGGTAGATTATCAAAGTCATATGGTTATTGTATCATTTGACATAAATTTAAAATATTACATTAAAATATTTTTAATTTAACTTTTAGTGTCTTTGATATTTTTAGTATTGTATTATGTAAACTGCTCAGAGTCATGGAGATTGGGTGGGTGGCCTATAAATTAAACAAGTACATAAAATAAGCACTTGCTCTGTTGTCCTCCGTTATTTGGGAACAATGACTTCTGGAGATATATATTTCTGATAAGTGGCAGGAGGTGGGGAGGAATACAGACTTTCTGAGATGTAGATGAAAAAATGCAACCTTTTGCTCATTGAAAGGCCAGTTCCTGCTTTTTGCTGAGCCAATCGAACCTTTAGCATTGTGAATCAAGTGTTACTCACTATCACATATCATTTTTATTAGAAAAAGAAAAGGAAAGAAAAGGCCGTACCTGATGTAACCCAATACAAGTTTAAGATAGGGAGGATTCAAGCTTGGCAACTTTAAGACTTGTGGACTTCAGTTCCCAGAATTCCCCAGCCAACGTGGCTGGCTGGGAAATTCTGGGAGTTGAAGTCCACAGGTCTTAAAGTTGCTAAGATTGGACACCCCCCCCCCACCCACCCCAGTTTAAAGTTTCCCACTGTGAATAAATCTAACTTCTTAATTTGTTTTCTATATCTCTCCCAGCTATTCTTTTTGCTATCAGCCACTCAGTATCCTTTGTGGTATTCCAAATATGGAAGCTGTCAACTCTATAACGACCTGGCTGCAGTCATTTTTGCTCGTTCTAGAACAGGAGGATTTCTATTAAACATTTTACTATCCCATGGGAACCAAGGTCATTTTTGTCTGTTAGATGGAAGCGTGAGCTTTTGGTCAGAAATCCCACCAAACTCTTCTATTGGGGAATGTAGCTGATTGCATCGCACTGGGGTGGGAAGTTTAACTTTGTAATGCAGTTTTTCTTTGAAGGGAACTTCAGACGTGGTTTCACTTTTGACCGTGCTGATACTATATAATCAATAAACATGTTCTTTGAGGAAATCTCAAGCCTCGGAATTCTGATTTATCTGGTCTTGTCTATCAAAACCATGACAGAAGCATTACTGTGGAAATAAATTTGGAATTACATCATTACAAACACTTTTCATAAAAGATGCAGTGCCTTTCTTTGGTCAGCAGACAGAAATGTTTCTCTGGTGAATTAATACAGAAATCTACAGTGCATTCTTCAGCAACTTTTAGTGAAACCTTTGAAATATTA